CCTCCTCCTCCTCCTCCTCCTCCTCATCATCATCGCTCATCATCATCATCATCATCAGCATCATCGTCATCATCATCATCATCATCATCATCATCATCATCATCATCATCATCCTCATCCTGATCGTCATCATCATCAGCAGCAGCAGTAGTAGCATCATCATCATCAGCAGCATCATCATCGCCATCATCATCATCAGCAGCAGCATCATCATCACCATCACCATCACCATCACCATCATCATCAGCAGCAGCAGCACAAGCAGCAGCAGCATAACCACCAGGATCGTTAGCGTAATCATCATCGTCACCGGCAGCAGCATCATCATCATCAGAAGCAGCATAATCATCCTCATCCTCATCCTCACTCTCATCCTCATCCTCATCTTCATCCTCCTCCTCATCATCAGCATCATCATCAGAATCAGCATCACCAACATCCCTACCACCGTTCCAGCACATCCCTCACATGTCCCGTGGCCCAGTTGGGAGCTCCACCCAAGGCCCCAGTGGCGACATGTGGGCGTCACGCCCGTTTCGGAACACCCCTCACACGCTTCGTGGCCGCATAGGAAGCTCCACTCGAGGTCCGGGTGTCGACATTCGCATGTGAGCGTCACATTCGTTTCGGCACAAACCCCTCAGATGGCCCCAGTGGCGACGTTTGCATGTGGGGTCCGTTTCGGAACACCCCTCATACGCTTCGTGGCCGCATAGGGAACTCCACCTCAGGCCCAAATGACGACGGACGTTCGCATGAGGGCGTCACGCTCGTTTCGGCACACCATGGCACACCCCTCACACGCTTCTTGGCCCAAAAGGGAGCTCTACCCAAGGCCCCAGTGGCGACGCTCGCATGTTGGCGTCCGTTTCGACACACCCCTCACACGCTTCGTGGCCCCGTAGGCAGCTCCACTCAAGACCCCAGTGATCACGCTCGCATGTAGGCGTCACGCCCATTGCAGCGCATCCCTCACACGTTTCATGGCCCTATCGGGAGCTTCACCCACGGCCCAAGTGGCGAAGTTCGCATGTGAGCGTCATGCTCGTTTCGACACACCCCTCACACGTTCCGTGGCCCCATAAGGAGCTCGACCTAAGGCCCAAGTGGGTGCGGCCGCATGCAGCTCCCCGCCCATTTCGGCAAACCCCTCACGCGCTTCGTGGCCCGATAAGGAGCTCCACCGAAGACGATACTCATAACCGCGGTACTCCCAACTACATTATAGATGGGTCCTTTTGCTTTACATAGTCTGGGGTTCTCGCGTTCTCGGGCCCTACAACCGCTCACGACGGCCGAAGAGGCCCCCAAGATCGCCCCAATACAGCCCAAGACAGCCAAAGAAACATCCAAGAGAGCCCCAAGAGAGCCCAACAAAGACCCAAGACGGCCCAAGAGGCCCCCACAGGGTGCCCAGGAGCTCAGGAGACGCCCAAGAGGGCCCCAAGAGACCCTCAAATGCGGAACCCGATCTGACATGTCGAGTCGTCGCCCCAACGATAAATTCATTGACCGCCAGCAACCGCCTAAGATGCCGCCAAGACGCTCCCAAGAGGCTCCAGAAAGGCCAAAAAGATAGTTCTCAGAGGCCCCCGTGAGGCCGCCCAAGAGACCCCAAAAAAGCCTCTAAGAGTCCGCGGCCTTCCAGGAGCCTGCATCCTGGTCACCCCTCACAACTTCCTCTTCTGCTCGTCCTCCCCTTCCGTGTATTGGAGCCTTCCTTCTGCCCTTCCTCGATATGCTCCTCCTCGTCGAGCTTTGCAACTTCCTACAAATACTTCTCGCCCTCCTGGTCAGCGTCTTCCTCCTCTCCCGCCCCATCCCCTCCCGCCCCATCACGCCCCATCACTCCTCTTCCGCCCCATCGCGTCGGCGGAATTGGCCGTGAGGCATTTGCAATACAGCGCACCGTTGATGCCGCATGCGAGAGTGGAGACATCCACATCGAAAGTGAACTCCTTGTATTATGTTGCTCCCATCGTACTCAGGACCACATCCCAGAAACAATTTCGAGCACCCGGGAAAACGTCGAAGGAGTGTCGCAACAGTGTCGAAACAGTGTCGGACGAGTGTCTCCCAGGGCCCGACACGTGAAAACCCTGCAATTTCGGCACGGTCCGGGTGCTCGAAGTCTTCCTTCTGGTGGTCAAGGCGAAAGTAGGTTGGAACATCATAATCCTTGTTCAGCAGTTTGAAAAGCTTGTACTCGTTAGGCTTCTCCAGCACGTACAGGCGGGAGCCCACGTTCGGGCCGCGCACGAAGCCCAGCTCGACGCCACCGGGCACGGCAGAGACGCCGTAGGTGTTGCGGTAGTCGTCGAGCGTGACGCTCTCCTGGCTACCTACCAAGCCACCCCAACACCCCAACCCAACCCGAAGACCCGAATTTCCCCCGAATTTCGGGTTGGGGGGGTTACGGGTTCCATGTGTTCTGTCAATGTTCCCCGACCCCCCACCACTGGGAATGGAGGGCAAATTGAGGCCTTCGGGTTGGGTTGGGGTGGTTTGGTGGGTGGTGATCTCCTAGGCTGCCAAAGGCAGCAACCCAAACAGACGAGGGTAGCAGAGGGCTGACACAAAGGAAGAGGGTACAGCAAAACATCGAGAGAGAGGTAGGGAGAAAGAGAGAGGCCTCTGGCCGAAGGCCTCTAAGGGGCTCCAAAAACACAATCCCACAGCAGAGCACCCTGGTGGCGATATGCTGGACCGTGAAATGACAAAAGAAGAGCAATGACTCAGCATCCTCGATCCCCATCCTTCTCCTCCTTCTCCTCCTCCTCTTCCTCCTCCTCCTCCTCCTCTTCCTCCTCCCCACCTCCTCTTGCTGAATACGCGGCCTGGCACGTGTCCATCTTTGGGACAAGTGGCACCGAGGGTTAGGCGTGATCGGCCGATTGTCCAAAAAAGAACTCTACGGGGGTGTGCCTATTTAGGGATTCCTCTGACTCCTACAGCTCCGCCTCGATCGTCCTCGATCCTGGGTCCTCCTGATCGATCCTCCTCCTCCTCAATCCTCCTCTTCGACATCCGAGATCCTCCTCGATCCTAACGGATCATAATGATTCGATCGTCCTCATCGATCGTCATCCTCCACCTTTACTTCTTCTTCTTCTTGTCTTACATATGTGATTTCTTCTCAGTATTACTATTATCAATACGAATAGCACTAGAAGTACGAGCAGCAGCAGCAGCAGCAACAGTAGTAGTAGTAGTAGTAGTAGTAGCAGTAGTAGTAGTAGTCGTAGTAGTCGTAGTAGTAGTAGTAGTAGTAGTAGTAGTGGTAGTGGTAGTAGTAGTAGTAGTAGTAGTAGTAGTAGTAGTAGTAGTAGTAGTAGTAGTAGTAGTAGTAGTAGTAGTAGTAGTAGTAGTAGTAGTAGTAGTAGTAGTAGTAGTAGTAGTAGTAGTAGTAGTAGTAGTAGTAGTAGTAGTAGTAGTAGTAGTAGTAGTAGTAGTAGTAGTAGTAGTAGTAGTAGTAGTAGTAGTAGTAGTACTAGTAGTAGTCGTAGTAGTAGTAGTAGTAGTAGTAGTAGTAGTAGTAGTAGTAGTAGTAGTAGTAGTAGTAAGTAGTACTAGTACTAGTAGTAGTAGTAGTAGTAGCAGAGTAGTATTAGTAGTAGTAGTAGTAGTAGTAGTAGCGTAGTGGTAGTAGTAGTAGTAGTAGTAGTAGCAAGCAGCAGCAGCAGCAGTAAGGGTAGTAGTAGTAAGCCGGTAGTACCCGAAGTGGAACGGAGAGCCCCCCTACCGGGAAATCGATTTCGGTTTCGTGTTCGTGCGTGCCGTGCGTGCGGGCGAGGCGAAGCTGCGTGGGCGGGCGAGAAAAAGTCTCCTGTGGCTGAGGCGCGGCCGGACCAAATGACTCCCTTCCGGGCGGCCGGTGGCCCGCGGTGTCCCGCCGGTGTCCCGCGAAAGTCCCGTGTGGCTGAGGCGCGGCCGGACCAAATGATTCCCTTCCGGGCGGCCAGTGGCCCGCGGTGTCCCGCCGGTGTCCCGCGGTGTCCCGCGGTGTCCCGCGGTGCCCCGCGGTGTCCCGCCCGTGTCCCGCGATGTCCCGCGATGATGATGATGATGATGATGATGATGATGATGATGATGATGATGATGATGATGATGATGATGATGGCGATGATGATGATGATGATGATGAGATGATGATGATGATGATGATGATGATGATGATGATGATGATGGTGATGGTGATGCTGATGATGATGATGCTGATGATGATGATGACGATGATGACGATGATGGTGATGCTGATGATGATGATGATGATGAGGAGGACGATGATGATGATGATGATGATATGATGATGATGGTGTCCCGATGGTGATGATGATGATGATTATGATGTCGATGATGATGATGATGACGATGTGGATGATGATGCTGGTGGTGTCCCGATGATGAGGATGATGATGATCATGATGCTTGTGTTGATGATCATGATGATGACGATGATGGTGTCCCGATGATGATGAGTATGATGATGTTGATGTTGATGATGCTGATTAGGATTGTGTCCCGATGATGATGATGTTGATGATGATGAGGTTGATGATGATTATGGCGTCCCGATGATGATGATGATTATACTGATTGTGATGATGATGATGTTGTTGATGATGATGGCGTCCCGATGGTGATGATGATGATGATGTTGATGCTGATGTTGGTAATGATGATGATGGTGCCCCGGTGATGACGATGATGATGATGCTGATGATGATGTTGATGATGCTGATGATGATGATGTCGATGATCAGGATGTGATGATGATGATGATGATGATGGTGTCCCGATGATGATGATGATGATGATGATGATGATGATAACGATGGTGATCATGATGGTGTCCCGATAATGATGCTGCTGATGATGATGATGACGATGACTGCGTCCCGATGCTGCTGCTGATGATGATGTTGCTGATGATGATTGTGATGATGGTGATGATGATGGTGGTGTCCCGATGATGTTGATGACCGTGATGATGATGTTGGTGTTGATGATGAGGACGGTGTCCCGATTATGCTGATGTTGGTGATGATGATGCTGATGTTGATGTTGTTGTTGATGTTGTTGTTGATGCTGATGTTGATGTTGTTGGTGATGATGTTGTTGTTGTTGATGTTGTTGTTGTTGATTATGTTGATGTTGCTGATGCTGATGTTGATGACGTTGATTGTGAGAGCGGTTGTGATATCGATAGTGAGATCGATAGTGAGACCGACTGTGATATCGATTGTGAAGTCGATTGTGAGATCGATTGTGAGATCGATAGTCAGATCAATTGTGAGATAAATCGAGTGAGATCGATTGTGAGATCGATCGAGGGAGATCGATCGAGCGAGACCGATACTGAGATCGATAGTGAGACCGATCGAGTGAGACGTTGGTTCCTCTTCCCCCCGAACCCCCTTATCACCCGAAGGGTGGTCGTATAGGTAGTACTAGTACGAGTACTAGTAGTAGTAGTCGTAGTAGTAGTCGTAGTAGTAGTAGTAGTAGTAGTAGTCGTAACCGTAGTAGTAGTGGTAGTAGTAGTAGTAGGAATAATAGTAGTAGTAGTAGTAGTAGTAGTAGTAGTGGTGGTGGTGGTAGCAGCAGTAGTAGTAGTAGTAGTACTAGTAGTAGTAGTAGTAGTAGTAGTAGTAGTAGTAGTAGTAGTAGTAGTAGTAGTAGTATCAGTAGTAGTAGTAGTAGTCATCGTAGTAGTAGTCATCGTAGTAGTAGTACTACTACTACTACTACAGAGTGATGATACTAGCAATAGTAGTGATGGTAGTATTACTCGTAGTAGTCGCAACAACAGTAGTACAAGTAGAAGTAGTAGTAGTAGTAGCAGTAGTAGTTGTTGTTGTAATAGTAGTGGTAGTAGTAGAGTAGTAGTAGTCGTAGTCGTAGTACTAGCAGTAATCGTAGTTGTCGTAGCAGTCGCAGTAGGTAGTAGTACTAGTGGTGGTAGTAATAGTAGTAGTGGTAGTACTAGTATTAGTAGTAATAGTAGTAGTAGTAGTAGTAGTAGTAGTAGTAGTAGTGGTGGTAGTAGTAGTAGTAGTAGTAGTAGTAGCAGTAGTAGTAGTAGTAGTCGTGGTCGTAGTCGTAGTCGTGGTCGTAGTCGTGATATTAGTAGCGATAATGATAGCCATAGTAGCAGTACTAGTATCATTAATCATAGTATTAGTCGTAATGATCATATTATCAGTGTTATCATCATGACTCGCATCAGCATTATTACTCTTAATATAATCTGTATTTGTATTGGTATTAATATGAGTATTCGTGAGAGTATTAGTATGAAGACTTTCATTCGTATTAGTCATAGCATTAATGTTAATATTAGTTTGCGATCCTCGATCACCAATCCGTCTGCCACTCGTCGATCCCCGCTCCGATCTTCCTGGACCATTGATCATCGAACATTGATCCTCCTCCCCGATCCTCCTCCTCCTCCTCCTCCTCCTCCTCCTCATCCGTCCTCCTCAAGCCTCAGTCCTCACTCCTCAATCCTTCTCATCGGCATTCCTCCATACCCTCCTCGATCCCCGATCCTCCATCATGTTCCTCTTCCCCCTCGGCCCCCTCCTCCTGCTCCTCGATCCTCGCCTCCTCCTCGAGCCGGGGGTCACGGACCACGGGCTCGCACTAGGGTGGCGGCGGTCGGGACGCGCCGGTCGTCCGCGCGCAGGCGGGCGCGCGGGGTGCCAGCCAGCAGACGGGGCCCTGGAGGCCCCCACGGCGGCAGGGCGAACGGAGGCACCAGCGGCGTGGCCAGAGGGGGCCGACACACACACACACACACACAGACACAGACACACACAGACACAGACACAGACACACAGACACACACACACACACACACACACACAGACACACACACACAGGCACAGACACGCGCAGCGCTGCGTCTTGCAGGAGCCCAAGCCACGTTCGGGTCGAGAGTGGGTACAAGGTGGGATGCACCCCTGGGCAGGGCAGGACTGCCTGGCATCCATGTCCACATCCCTTGTGGACGCCGTCGCAATCAGACCCAGAGGCCACACGCTCTACTGTGGACTCGGGACTGCACGCACCTTGGATCACTACATTGGAGAGCAGAACCGCCGGACATCACGGCCTGGCACCTCCCAGGGTCAAGCGAGCTCGGGGACCAGCCTTCGTCGAGGGCCCAGCACGACAGGCAGCACACCGACGGCAGGCTCGTCTTCGTGATCAACGGGCGCAGCGGTGGAGTCAGGTTGACACCATCGACTCGGGCATCGGGCGCGACCCATGCAGGAACCACGGCCGCCGCCAGCTCGAGCAGCACACGAGAGGCCGCCGTCCAGGCATGG